CTCGGTCGGTGAGTAAGTGACTGTGTGTGTGGAAGAGTTTCGCCCCTTCCGGCCGCTGCATGAAGTCTTGCAACTCCTCACATGGACTTGCGCTGCTGACCCACGTGCGCCTTGTGTTTACGCTGCCATGAGCGCGGCGAGCCATTGGCCGCGCGGGTCCCCCGCGTGACGTCACAATCGCACAATGGAACTTCCCCCGGGAGCTCGCGGCGGCCGCATGTGACCCGAGCAGCCTCCGTGTTTGCGTGACCCAGTTTCTGCCGCGAGGACGGAGCACGTGCTCCACCCTTCTCTTCCCCCGTCCCCCCCAGTTTCCACCTCCTGCAGAAGGACAGCGAAGCGCCGCCGACAACGGCAGTGGCCACGGGAGGAAGTGCAGCGAAGCGCGCCGTTCCCATCCCCCCTCCCCTCCCCCCTTTCTCCTCGCTCTGACAGTGAGGATGTCAGTTGTCGCAGTCATTGCTGGATCACCTCACGTACGCATGCGGCTTAAACCAAAACAGGCCAACGTTTTAAATTGGCGAAGGTTCGACAATGTGCAGATGTTTCGAGACTTAAAAACTTTTGAAATATTTTGGCCTGGTTTGAAGCTCAGAGGAGTCACGGCACAGATAGAGGCCAAAATAACCGAAAGTCAGAAGGTTACAGGACACCAGGTTACAGTCCATCGGTTTATTTGAATAATCACATGCTTTCGAGGCGCTGCTCCTTCGACTTCTGACTTTGTCGACCCCGGTCCAACACCAGTATCTCTACATCAAAAAAAAACGAAAAGAACTGTGGATACTGGGAAACTGAAATAGCTGGAAAATCTCACCAGGTCTGGCAACATCTGTGGAGAGAATTCAGAGTTAACATTTCAGGTTCAGTGACCCTTCCTCAGAAAGAGGCCATTCGGCCCTTCACGTCTGTGCCTCTTCTGGGGATTTGTTGCCCCTTTGCTCCCCCATATTCTGCATACAGGTAGTTCTCCTATAACACGATGGTTGTGTTCTTCTGTGACCTCGTGCTATAGAAAATTGCTGTAGAAAATCACATTATAGAAAAATCACTATAGTATACAGTAGAAAGTTTGCATTATCTAAACAGCGTCCACTATTCATCAATCGCCTTACAGCCAATTTGTGTTAACAAAACACGTTATAGCAGAAATACCTGTATTGTAACTGCAGGGGTATTGCGTCAGAGCAAACATCTTTTTTTCAGGTTTAATAGTGGATACGTTATATTTTTAGGCGAGTCATTAGCTGAAGTAAACAAGTACTGACAAATTCCAGGGAATGTGAGGAGCACTGAATCAAATTACAATGGTATTAGAAGTCTTTGTTGCTGTTCACATCCTTTTATACCCCACTTAGCAAAAATCTGTGGCTTGAATCACATTACTAATTGGGCAGGTGATTGTTAAGTTTTGAAATGAAATTATAAAGCAAAATCCACTGCGCTGTTTCAAGTCCTATTGCACTGTTAGAACATCTAAAATTATAATTTTCCATAGTTGATCGTAGACAATTTTAAAGACACTTCCAGTATATTCTAGAAGTTTAGATTGGTTGTGATAATTTCTGAACACCCCAGATCACAAAATATAGAATCAGAAGTAGGCCATTCAGCCCATCAAGTCTTTTCTGTCATTCATACCTAATAATCCTCGACTCTACTTTGATGCCTTATCCTCATAACCTTTGATTCCCATATCAGCCAGTCTTGATAGCTCTCTGTAGTCAGAAATTCTGCAGATTTATTACCCTCAGAGAAGAAATTCCTCCTAATCTCTGTCCTAATTTGGCAGCCTCTAACTCTCTTCCTCAAAAGGTGGCAGAAGCAGAGTCTGAATATTTTGAAGGCATAGATAAATAGGTAAACTATTGATAAGTAAGTGAGAATGTGGAGTAATCTGATCAGCCATGATCCTATTCAATAGTGGAGCAGGCATAAGGGCCAAGTAGCCTTCTCCTGCCTTTAATAAAAATAGGAATGTTTTGCTAAAATTATACAAGGCACGAGTTGATTCGCATGTGGAATACTGTGAACGGTTTTGGTCTCCTTATCTAAGGGATCGTTTTATAAGAGGTAGAGTAGGTTGGGCCTGTATTCATTGGAATTTTGAAGATTGAGAGGTGACCTTATTGAAGCATAGAAGATTCCTAGGGGACTTCACAAGGTAGTTGCAGAGATGTTGTTTTCCCTTGACACATTCTGATGCCCAAGATCTTACATGGGTGACACTCATGAAAGACTGAATATGTGACAGTCTTCACAGTTCTCTTCCATGCTTCATTGGCATGGATTGCAGTTAGTCCTGTGATGGAAATGTATGGTCAGAGCCATTTTGATGGTGTTGGATTCCTGTGAGGTATGGAGTTACTGGAAGACTACTGCTGATTTGCTAGTTTTTGTATGGATCTCATTCTCTGCACCACCTTCCTTGGTGCTGCTGCTTTTTAGATCGGGGAAGTAATCAACATTCTTAATGTTCTGTTGCCTGGTGATGAAGGGGGAGCCTTGCTTCTGTCCAGTCATCATTGTCTTCGTCTTCTAACAGATGATACATATACCAACTTTGGTGCTGTTACTCTCAAAGCTGGTGGTCATATATTGGTGCATGGACAATTTGGCAAGAAAGGGAGTGCCAACTTTGAAATCCAGTCTTGTCAACAGTGGTGTTACTATGTGATAGCAAAATCTGCATCCAGCTTTGCCTTCCCCATGATCAAATCAACAAAAGGAAAAGGGAGAGAATGCAGCCTTGCCATATCACTATGATGCTGTTGAAGGAGTCTAAAGGAACCTATGCTAGTCTTGATGCAGCACCTGGAGCCAGGTTTTAGGTATTGAAGATGTTAATATAACACTCCAGGATGTTGTACATCTTGTGATGTATGAGAATGACTGCTGATAGATGCTACTGAAAGTCTTCTTGAAATCAATACAGTTGAAATCAAATGACTTCTCATACTTCAGTCTCTGCTGTTTGATATTTGTTGAATATTATGACCTGCTTGTAGCATGATCCACCACCATAGAAACCTTCCACTTCTTCACAAACAGTAGTGTACTTCTGCTTGCCATCTTTTGTGGAGTACCACACTGAAGATCTTGCCAGGCACTGACACATTTGTCCAATTGTTGCAGTTACTGAGATTCCCTTTCTTTGGCAGTTTGATGATTATTTCTTGTTTGCAGTCAACCAGGCCTATCCTCTATGGTTCAGATCTTGTTGAACAGGTCTGTGAACTCTTTTATTACTTTTGGACACCCCTCTGCTCGGAAAAGCTAATTTTATATTTTTTGAATATCAAATCTCTCCATTATGATAAGTGATAAATATATTCAGTGTCTTTTTAAAGTTTGTTTCTACCTTAATTTTACATGTATGCTTCAATCTTTATTTCTCTCTCTCAAATGAAAAAAAACGCGGTGGACAATCAGTGCATTTTCTTCCTGGTTTGAAGTCTCTGAGAATTATTCAACGTAATTGGGGTGTCTGGAGTCAAATTAATGCCAGGCCATAGAGACTGCTAAAGCTAGGAGATAGTAAGAACTGCCGATGCTGGAATCAGAGATAACACGGTGTGGAGCTGGAGGAGCACAGCAGGCCAAGCAGCATCAGAGGAGCAGGAAAGTTGATGTTTCGGGTCAGAGCCCTTCTTCAGAAATGGGCTTCTTTTTCAAGGGATGTCCCCCTTGAAGAAGTTATCCTCCTCCCTCCGGAAAGATCTCAGTGGATGCCATTTCTGAAAAAGGGTCCCGACCCGAAGCGTCAACTTTCCTGTTCCTCTGATGCTGCCTGACTGCTAAAGCTATTTGGTTTCTTGCCAGTGAGCAGCTTTCATTTTGTGGACTGGAAAATATATATCTCTGGTTTCTTTAATGTTGTAATATTTGATGTAACCCATCATTTTTAAAATATTTATTCACTTACTGAAAGCATGTGATGCTGGTAAGACTGACACTTACTGCCAAATCTTAATTTCCACGGAGGATGTGATGCTGGGCCCCTTTGAGCTGCTTTAGGACATTGTAGCAAATTCTGTTATAATAGATTGACTTATGAGGCCATTTTGGAGGGCAGTTAACAGTCACTCAAATGTCTTACTCTCAAGAAACCAACTCCTAACCACTCTGAGATTGCAAACTACTGCCCCATCTCCAACCTCCCTTTCCTTTCAAACTCTTGAAAAATATTGTTGCATTCCAACTTTGCGCTCATTGTTCCAGAACTCCATGTTTAATTATCTGCTGTCAGGTTTCTGTCCCTGCCACAGCACCAAAATGATTCTTATCAAAGACACAAATGACAGCCTGGGTGACTGTGATAAAGGCAAACTATAACCTGAGATCAACTAAAACCTGTGCCTTTGTCCTAATTCTCTCAGTCACTCGGGCAGGTGAGGATTAATTAAGAAATGCTAGCATATATTTTTAAAGACAAATCAGTTACATTTAAGTTGCTGAGGCAGGATTGATGATGCCAATGTGGTCTATATCCAGGGCTGGCCCCAAAGGTCTTTTTGGCACCTGAGGCGAAATATGACTTTGATGCGACCCCCGAAATCCAATATAGAGAAAAATGAGAAGTCTGAAAATTTTACCTTTATTTACATGGTATTTGAAGTGGCACATTTGGTGCTCCTTTAAAACCTGGCACTGTAGGCGACTGCCTAATTTGCCTATATGGTCAGCTGGCCATGTCTGTATATCCTTCTAAACAATCGTATTTTGATCTTATGCCATATAGTAAGTGGGTTTGGATAAAACTGAAATATTGTGTTCAATTCTGAGCACTACACATCAGAAAGATATAAAACCTTAGGGTTTTGAAAATATTTACTGTAAAAGTTCCAAGAATAACAAGAAGTTGGATAAGCTACGGTTGTTCTCTTTTTAAAGAAAAGAATTTTGAGAGGAGATTTGATAGGGGTATGTAAAATAGAGGCAGAGTAAATAGAGAGAAACTTTTCCCATTGCTAGAATGAGCTAGAACTACAAGGCGGAAATTTAAGGTGTTTGGTTCTTTCATCAAAATAAAGTGAGGTGCTTTTTTTTTAATGCAGCCAGCAGTTAAGATCTGCAGTGCACTGCCTGAACAAGTGGCGTTGGAAGAGCAAAATACGGTTCTCAAAGTGAATTGTATAAATACTTTAAGGAAAAGGATCGTATGGCTATGGTGAAGAGGTGGAGCAATGCGTAAGATTAATTGAATTGCTGTCTGACAGTTAACATGGGTTAAAAGGGCTGAATGTCTTCCTGCTGGTCTTAGTTATGATTCTAAGGGAAATATGATTCTCTTCTGACTTTCACTCGAACAGGCTCACACAGCTTTTCAGACTAAATGGATTAATGGGGCAGGAGAAAACTAAAATGTTTGAAAAAGAAGTTTAAAACAGGCATGATGAACTTCTGATTTATCTGTTTGACTTTATAATTGTCTTCCATTCATTTTTGTTTCTTTTTACTGCAGGTGGTGTCATTGCATACATAAGTTCATCAAGTTCCAGTTGTAGTCCTGTCTCTTATCACAGTGACAGTTCAGAGAACAGTTTCCAGTCAGTCTCGTCTTCTGTTCCATCATCACCCAGCAGTCTTGTATCTGATAACCACATTAACTCCAGTGACATGCTTGCTAATAACTGTACATTGAAACTAGGAAGTTCCAGTAACATCCAGCTTGCGTGCTCAGTTAATGGGGATGGACCGAACACAAGTCCTTTGAGCAAATGTACCAGTGGCATTACCAGTGAGTTGATAATGCTGCAATTATAATTTGATCTCAGAATGACTATGTTTTGACATCCAAAAATTTTTAATCGAAAGTAGACAAATAAAAGCTTTATTTTGTGACTGCCTGGCTATGTTTGCTGTTATAATCCATTGTATGTGTTTTCTTTTAGAAATTAACGGAATGGTCCTTCTATGTAAAGTCTGTGGAGATGTGGCATCTGGATTCCATTATGGTGTGCATGCGTGTGAAGGTTGCAAGGTAAGGTATAGTTTCTCTGAATTCGAATAAATAATCACATGACATCTCTAAGTAGAAGAACTCTTAATGTAGTCTGAGTAATAGCGCAGATTTATTGGACTACTAATTGAATCGGTAAAATTAACTAAATATGAATCTAAAGGTTTACTGGCATATTGCAATCCTCCCATAGTTCTTTGGGGAATGAGACATCACACTATTGTATTATTGCAGAATCATGATTTATAATAGAAAATTAATTTAATGTTCATATTCTAGCCTGTTGATCAGGTGTGATTTACTCTTAGTTAGGCACATTATGACATTAAAACCAAAAGAACTGTGGATGCTGTAAATCAGGAACAAAAACAGAAGTTGCTGGAAAAGCTCAGCAGGTCTGGCAGCATCTGTGAAGAAAAAATCAGAGTTAACACTGCAGGTCCGTGTGAGCCTGTTTAATTGAAAGTCAAAAGAGAATCACATTTCCCTTAGAACCCAGTTCTGAAGAAGGGTCACCGGATCCGAAACGTTAACTCTGAATTTTTCTTCACAGATGCTGCCAAACCTGCTGATCCTTTCCAGCAACTTCTGTTTTTGTACAACATTGTTTTATTTTGCCAAGTTAGAGAACCTGGTCTCACAACAAAAATTGTTTTTACTGGTGATGTGGGATGGAGAATATCACTTATGAGTTACTGTAAATTTAACTTTCCTTTCAGTGCATCCTTTTAAAGATTAAGACTGGCATTTATCACTATTATTTTCATTTACTGCATCGAGAATATAATGATAGATCTTTTTGAAGTCTATGTGGACTTCCATTTCACAGTACTGTTACGTAGAGAGTTCCAGGATTTTAACAGAGATGATGATATAAGTCCAAGATCAGAGGGATGTGTCTTGGAAAAATGGTGCTATTCCCATTGGACTGTTCAGGATGACGAGGTTGCAGTCTTACGAGGTGCTGCTGAAAAAGCCTTGATGAGATACTGCATCGCATCCTTCATGTGGTATACACTGCCGTCATGGCGTGGTGCTTATGAAGGGCTTGAGTGTTATTCACTTGTAGTGTGAACCAGCACCAAGTTTTGTTCTGGCTTGTGTTGAGCTTCTTGAATGTTGTCATAATTATATTTATCTGGTTGAGTGCAGAGTATTTCATCACTTTCTCCACTTGTGCATTATAGATGGTGGTTGGAGTTTGGTTAGTCAGAGGTGAGTTGTTCACACAGAATGACTTGCTCCAGTAGTCAGAGTATTTCTGTGGCAGGTTCGGTCACGTTTCTGGCCAGTGGTGAGAAGCAACGCTAAATGTCATCTGCTTGGAAAAGTGGTTAGACTTTATTTTCCAGCTAGCTCCTACTGCATCTGGGAACAGATTGGTTCATTTTCTGAGGTATATGAATTGAATATTGTAATTGTCAGCAAACAGTCCCATTTCTGACTTTATGATATGGAAAGGCCATTGATAAAGCAGCTGAAAATGGTTGGGCATTGTTGACTGACTGCAATCTGTGCAAATAAATACTTCTTAGCTCAGGACCAAATTTGCCTTTGAGAATGCTCTCTCTCTGTGGCCTTTTATGATATCTGTGTGGTTTCAAACTTTTTTTTTGGTTGTATCTTAGAATGAAGTCTTTTGTTGAGGAGGACTTATTAAATCGTCAGACAGGGCTCATCTCATCATGAGTGAAATATTAGGATCCCATTAGGGACATTCAAAGAAGAAATCTAAACACTCAAATTAACCACTGTGCCACAAGATTTCATGCTTTTAAACAAAGACAAGCTTTGTTGTATATAAAGAGAAATCGGGGAGGTATAGACCGGTGAGCCTTAAGTTAGTGTTGGGTAAATTGTTGGAGGGGATTCTGAGGGACAGGATTTACACGCATTTGGAAAGGCAAGGACTGATTAGGGATGGTCAGCATGGTTTTGTGCGTGGGAAATCGTGTCTAACTAACTCGAATGAGTTTTTAGAAGAGGTGACAAAGAAGATTGATAAGGGCAGTGGTAGCCATTGTCTGTATTGTCTTCAGCAAAGCATTCAACAAGGTTCCGCATGGTAGACTGGTTAGTAAAGTTAGATCACATGGGGTCCAGCAGGAGCTAGCCAATTGGATACAAAATTGGCTTGAAGGTAGGAGACAGAGGGTGGTGGTAGGGGGTTGCTTTTCAGACTGGAGGCCAGTGACCAGTGGTCGGCCATAAGAATTGGTGCTTAGACGACTGTTGTTTGTCATTTATAAAAATGATTTGGATGTGAATATAGGTGGTACATTTAGTAAGTTTGCAGATGACACTAAAATAGGTGGTGCAGAGGACAGTGAAGAAGATTTTCTCAGGGTACAATGGGACTTTAATCAGATCAGCCAATGGGTCGAGGAGTTGCAGATTTACTTTAGATAAATGTGAGGTTTGCATTTTGGTCAGGCAAATGAGGAAAGGACTTAAACATTTAATGGTAGGGCCCCGGGGACTGTTGCCAAACAAAGAGTTTGAGGGGTGCAGGTGCATAGTTCCTTGAAAATGGAGTTGCAGGTAGACAGGGTGCTGAAGAAGGCGTTTGGCATGCTTGCCTTCATAGGTCATAGTGTTGAGTGTAGGAGTTGGGATATCAGGTTGTGGCCGTACAGGACGTTGGTAAGACCAGTTTTGGAATACTGTGTACAATTCTGGTCACACTTCCATAGGAAGGATGTTGTTAAACTTGACAGGCAATTTATAAGGATCTTGCTGGGCCTGGAGCGTTTGAGCTATAGGGAGAGGCTGAATACGCTGGGGCTTTTTTCCCTGGAGAGTTGGAGACTGAGGGGTGACCTTTATAGAGGTTTATAAAATCATGAGGTGCATTGATAGGTTAAATAGCCAAAATCTTTTTCCTGGGTGAGTGAGTCCACAACTAGAGGACATAGGTTTAAGGTGAGAGAGGAAAGATTTAGAAAGGACCTTAGGGGTAGTGTTTTCACGCATAGATTGTTGCATGTATAGAACAGGCTGCCAGAGGAAATGATGGAGGCAGGTGCAATTGCACCATTTAAAAGTCATCTGGATGGGTATATGAATAGGAAGGTTTGAGAGGGATATGGGACAAATTCTGGCAAATGGGACAAGGTCAGGTTGGGATGTTTGATCGGTGCAGATGAGTTGAACCGAAGGGTCTGAATCTGTGCTGCATGACTGTATGACTCTATATGTGTTAATTCAGTCTGTGTTTTTTCACTCTTCACCAGTCCCAACCATCCCACTAAAGATTCCCTGTGTTTTATGGAATGTTGAAGGTTCACACACTTGTGTAGGAACCAATCCAAAGATATACCACAGCTCTCCATTCACTTTAACGCTCCTCAGCATTCCAGCTATTAGGAGGTTAGATTCTAAGAGTGTCTTCCCAATAGCTTTTGCCTCTGCTCCTTGTTTTGGTTGCTGCTCAATACCTAGTCAAATGCTTGCAGCTTTCCAAAATGAATGCTTTCTCCCACAACAGTCTGTGAGAACCACTGTAGATTTCTTCCATGAGTTGAAAGCTGGAGCAAATAGTCCAGCTGCTTTTCCCTCACAAAGTTCAAACTGAGATAATGTCCTCCTGCATTTTGTAGGGTGAATAATTAAGTTAGTATTTCCACTGCTTGAAGTTCAGGCCTCAATGGCTAATATTTATTTCCCCTGACTCTCCTTACTTAGAAAGTAGCAGCCTACACAGGACCAAATCTGCAAATATCTCTGACACAACCCTTCTGATGAAGGGTCTAGGCCCGAAACGTCAGCCTTCCTGCTCCTATGATGCTGCTTGGGATGCTGTGTTCATCCAGCTCTGCACCTTGTTGTCTCAGATTTTCCAGCATCTGCAGTTCCTACTATCTCTGCAAATATCTCTGTTTGTTCTGAAAATGAACTGCTTGCTTCTGTCAACAAAAACACAGATATGTCAAACAAAAGCAACTTCCAGTCAAGAGACAACAAGGTGCAGGGCTGGATGAACACAGCAGGCCAAGCAGCATCATAGGAGCAGAGAGGCTGACGTTTCGGGCCTAGACCCTTCATCAGAAAAAAAAAAGTCAAGACTTTATCCTGAATCATTATCTCTGTGGCAGTGTGGCATGCTTTGTTTAGTTCAACCAGAAATGCAAACAATTTATTTTACCTTCAGCACAACCTTTTGTGCAGCTGCATGAATAATTTATATTTCTAATGAATGTAACTGCCTTCTTTCTGGACCCCCAAGCTTCATTACAAGCTTAGAGGTGGATCATGTATTGTTTATCAACTCCGATCATAAATAGTTGTTTGGTAGTATAAAATCTGTATTGCTGAAAAATGACACATTTTGTTGAAACTTTTTGACTTGCAGTCTTCAGGACATTTTGCATGAATATTAATTCAAAGGGCAAATCTATGTTTATATTACATGAGAGGAGAATGCTGATTGGTAGAGGCATAACTATGGAGAATGCACCCATTATGCTGATTAACATTTAAGAGCTTTGTTTAAATTTTAAACCAGGAAAATTGACTCTGATTGGTCAAGTTGTTGCCCTGAGACATGAAACAGCAATTAGCTCTAACCTGTTTTTGTTGAGTTGAAACAGATGCACTGCATGCATGTATTCTTTTTGTCTGCAAAGAACAGGGCCTGTGTATTAATACTTGTAGCTTCCAGTACACACTATGAGCCTGATCGACAATGCTGAATTGGCTGTCAGTGTGATTTCTCAAACTGTGATCGTGTAAGGCAAACACAGGCTACCCTTTAAGACTAGTAATTTCAGGCTTGTTTGAGTTGGATTTACATCAGAACTTTTACCAGTTTCTCAACCAGATGTCCCTATTTTTCTACAATTAAAAGTTTATCTCCTAAAATTAAAAATTATATTCTAAAACATGAATAACAAATTAGAGTTTTGCAATGCAAGGAAAACATAGACTTGCATTTCTATTAAGCCTTTCATGGTATGAAACACACTTGTTTTTCAATAAAATAAATCTGCTTTCCTCTGTCTTCAAGTGTTAAAGTCCCCGGGTTGCGAACGGATTCTGATCTTATATCTACTTGCAAGTTCATTTGCACACAAATTGGAACACAATGCAAGACAATATGAAGTAGCCACTCATAAGCACGGGAAATTTTCGTATGGCAGAACTTTAAAATTACAACCCTGTAAGGGAGCGCATTTCTAAGTACAAGCATTTATAAGTCAGACATTTCTAAATCAGGACCACCCCCCCACCATTTCCAGTAGGTAGTGCATGTCTGACGTTATATCTGTTGCACTCGTGCAGCCTCCTTCTGAGACATGTATATTTGAATTTTTTTAAGACTTGCATCAGCAAACCTGTATGTCCTTATCATGTGAGATCATTCCAGAAGTAACCATACTTCGTAGCAGTTCAGGGCGTGGTGAAATTTGCAGTTTGATTTTCAGTGTATGTGTAATATTGCATGTATAATAAAGAACTGAACTAAGAATTAAAAACAAAATACAGAAATACATCAGATAGTAAGAACTGCAGATGCTGGAGTCAGAGATAATACAGTGTGGAGCTGGAGGAACACAGCAGGCCAGGCAGCATC